AGAGAACCTTTTCATGATATGCTAATTTTTTGGGACAGGCATTTTGGGTTTTCATGAGCTGTATGCCATAATCATCAGTATTAAAACAATTAAAGACCTGAAATATTTCAGTTGGTGTGCAATGAATCTGAAATATATGAAAGTTTCATTTTTATCATTACATTATGGAAAATAATGACCTTTATCACAATATGCTAATTTTTTGAGAAGGACCTGTAAATCTTAAATGGAGCTCCACACATGAACTTTGACGTGTGTATAAAATACACACCACCTGAGCATTTTCATTTTCAGCACATTGTCCAGAAATACTTTCCCATTCCTATGTTTCTCTGTGTTCAGCCCAACACTCAAGTCAGTCCCCGGTTTCTCTGACGACAGATGCGTCGCCGCCTCGGCCGTATGTCTCCCCTCGGAATGGCACACCCCAGAACTCCCAGAAATCCTTCCTGAGCTTGCACACCAGCAACACTGCCCCTTCTCAAACCAGAGTATGTTCTGTAACTCACCTTTGTTAGCCTTTTCTGATATCTGCATTTTTCTGCCTCTGTCTTCTTGTTTTCGCTCTATTAACATCTGTTCTTCAGGGCAGCACGTCTTCAGGGAAGCAGGGAGCACAGTCTCTGTGTCAGACGACAGAAAAACGGCCAGAAGACCCAAGAACTATGCAGCAGAGAAGGTAGCTTTACTAATTCTAACTTTATGACTGTTAGGGGAACAATCCACCACCTTATTTAGCTGCTTAAACACTATTTTAATTTTTTTTTCCCACCGTAAACTAGTCTATCTTTAAGAGCTATCAGCCTGAAGAAAAAAAAACTTTTTTTTGTTTACACTTTTAAAGATCTTTAGTTAAAAATAAAACTCCACATTTCAGTTTGACAAAAATATATATATATACACGTTTATTTTATAGCACTTTTTTCAATAAATTTTTCCCCATTACTTCAGAATGATTTTTTTGACCATTTAAAAAATTAATTACAGTCCAGAGTTTTGTGAAGACCCTCCAGGTCCAGTAGCTGTAAATGAGACACTTACTCCTGTCTCACGGAGGTTGAACATGGAGGGGGTTTTAGTCCGTTTTTCTTCTTTTAACTCTCCTGGTGCACAGTGCCAGGTGCTTTCTTTTGTTTTGTTTTGTTTTGTTTGTGTTCTATTTCGTATAGGCTTCGCCCTTTAAGGCTTTCGCTTAGTTGGTTTATCCCGTTATGCGGAGCATTAGCACTGAAAAATTTAGTCCACGCCCACCTGCTGTGTGGGCCCCACCCGGTCCGTATAAATTACGTTAAGAGCGGGAAATCGGCTCCCATTTTTTCTTCAGCGAGCTAAATAGCACTGTCAGAAGAACAAAGAAGGAAAATTATGTAGATGACCAACCTTTGTTAAGGATGCTTGGCCCGGCAGTCGACCTCCGGTCGTCCGGTGAGTTCTCCTCCCTGAGGAGAAGCTGAGGAGCACTCTTATTTCAAGGTAAGCGCCGAGGAATATTTCTCAGTGACAGGTCACTACACGCTGGACAACGCCATCTTGTATTTTTCCTCTTATCGCCGACCCTCGGAGCGAATCGGATGGTTCCTCCGGGACAGGCGCGCTCAGCTGCAGCCCCCGCTGCTCATTCCCTCCTGGGGAGCGTAGTGTCGGTGGAGGGGGGCTGAGTGAATGCTCACCCCATCCCACCTCGTTTCGCATCGGCGATCACACCGCTCCCGGCCGACGGCGCCCTCAGGGGTTGCCCGGCGTAACCCAGGAGGCGGCTGACATGAAAAGACCCTTTTTTACGTTCTACGCCTTTCCCGCCAGTTCGGATGATCCGGCGGGAAGGTTGGTTACTGGGCTCCATTCCGGCTTACCGTCTTGATCCATATGGCCTCGTGTTCCCAACAGGACGTCCTACGGGTGAGGCCACAGACGGGTTTTTTTCCTGGTAGATTGGGGGAGCCGGTCTCCACAGTCCGCACCCATCCCCAGAGCAGGGGTTCACTGAGCGGAAAGTCCCTCCGTGCCCCCTGGAGCCGAGCCTGATGGAGGCTTCATCGGAGTAATATGTCGAGGTGGACCAGCTTTCCGTGCCTCCGGTTAGCATAACCGAGACAGTGACACCGCTCTCCAACTGAGTTCACCAGCATGTGTTCCACACGGCCGAAGCGAACAACACGCTACGCTGTTGGCGTACACGTTCAGAGGCGGGAAGAGACGGTGGCCCTCTGTCCTTCGGCTCACTCCGCTCGTAGCGGCTGCTTGCTAACGACGCTGCCGGCCCTTGCAGTACGCTCCGTCTACAGGGCAGCTGACGTCATCCTCAACCGGTGCGCCTCTTTGCTGTCTGCCGCCCCGCATCGCAGCCAAAGAACGAGGTCCCAGAGGTTCTCCTGGCTCGTCACTCCACCTTCCTCTCAGGAGAGCTGCAGGAGTTTTGTTGGTGATCCTCTTTTCATCAGCGAGAGATCATTTCAAGATGCTCCACGGCTGCTCAACGCCTCCCCAGCTCTGCTACGCCAGCCCCTCCCGTCAGACGTCCCCGGCAGCCGGAAGTTCATTTGTTTTCCCGGACTTCGCCAACAGGGGGCCCTCCAGGACAACAAACAGAGCTCAACGGAAGGTAATCAGGTGTCCGGTCGCTGGAGGTGTGTTGATGACACTGTGAAATAACATCATTTTATGATGAAGTGTCTTTAGCCAGGCTGTCAGCATGGTTATCTGACAAGCGGCCCCATCACACACACTCATTACGAATGAGCCTTTTTTAAGGTTGTTTTCATTCACTGTCAGCGGTGCCGATGCGCGCCCCCGCGGCATGAAAGCGCGCACGCAGCTCTCAGCGCCCGCCATTCACGCCAACGTTCACGTGAGACCACGGTACGAGCTCAGCAACGTATCTCGCTCTCGGCAGAAGCGACACACGTTTTGTCATTGCAGTGGTGTCAACGCGCGCTCCCGCGGCGTTAGCAGTTTCACAAGCCTCACAGCGGCTCTGCTCTTTCATCCTCGAAGAAGGTTTTCTGAATTAATACTGCAGATCGTGGAATCACTCTGAAGTTCACGTGACTTGTAGGCAAGAATGAACATGTTTCTGCAGACCGAGCCAGTGGTAGCCTTGTTTCACCGATGCCGCGCGCTGCTTCCTGACCGCTCCAGTGCCAACGCTTGCTCCCGCGGCGTCAGCAGCTTCACAAGTCTTCACAGCGGCTCAGCTCATACATCCTCGAAGAAGGGGTTTTTTGTCTGAATTATTATTGCAGTTCGTGGAATCACTCAAAAGCTCACGTGATTCGCAGCAAACAATGAACGTGTTTCTGCAGACCGAGCCAGTGGTAACCCCGCTCCACCGATGGCGTGCGGTGCCTCCTTACCGCACCAGTGCCAACGCGCGCCCCGGCGGCAATCCTGGCTTAAAGCGTTGCATGAGGACGCACACACACGACCCTTCAGGGCGCGTCGGCTCATATGTGTTCCCGCTTCCCGAGCGTTACACGGAGCAGCGTTACACGGAGCAGCGTTACACGGAGCAGCGGCACACAACGTGAACACAACACATGAGCTGTTTTCCCGCAGCAACACACAACGTCTTGCATGCTCGGGGACGCGCTTGTTTTTTCTCTCACTCAGCGCGCTCCAGTTCACATCAACATGTTACAACATGTGGGGGAGTGGTGGCGCAGAGGTTGGAGAGGTGGGCCTGTGATCCGAAGATCGCCGGTTCACGCCCCAGCCCCGACAACATCAAAATTGTGGGTGGGGTAGGTGAAACACCCACACTTGCCCCCACCCTCATTCGCCCCACTCTGGGCCCATGAGCAAGGCCCTTAACCCCCACCATGTGCTCCCTAAACAGGTCTCTCTTGAAAATGAGTTCTCGTGGCTCAATGAGACTAACCTGGATAAATAAAGGCTAAATGAAAAAAAAAAAAAAAAAAAATGTATATGAGTTTTTCACAGCATAAATGCGTGCCCGCTTTATAGCTTATAAACGGGTGGCAATGAACGCGCGCTTCCAGATGGATGGGCGAACCATTTCATCTGGGATTCACGCTGCAGTTCAGCTCAAACCCCGGTGTGGAGGAACTCTGTGACGTTTTTTCTGTCATTTATGAACAGATCTCGTCCCCTCTAGCAGAAGCTCAGGAAATTCCTTTTTAAATGTAATTTCTAGAGTCTCAGATGGACAGGAAACGCAAGGTCTCTCATCATTTCCTGGTCCCAATGAACCGGAAAGATGAGATTTATTCTAGATTGTCAATTTCTGAGCTGTGAGAAACAACACTCCATTATGCGCCCGAGCCGCTTTAATTCTGCGTTATCTGGACACCTGCTGCTGCTGAGCAGCTTGTACAGACAGGTGGCAGCAGTGCAACTCACGTGAATCGGTTGAGTGATATCAGCTGTTTTCCGTCAGCAGACCTACGCCACACACATTTAACAAGCTGTGGGGCGCTGTGGCTCTCCACACAGCAGCTTTTTTAAATGTTTTTGGAGTGTCGCACGGGATCTTTGAATATGACTCAACACTGACCTTGAGCTGCAGAATCATCAGAGTTTTTGATTCTCAGACAGCAAGTGACTGTTGCATACATACTAGCAGGAAATGTATGCATTTTTCAACCCATGTGCCACATTGTGAGACAGATGCTGTGTGGGGCACACCCAATCTGCTCTCCATTGGAGTGGGTACATCTCATGTATTCCACCCAGAGCTAGGGCTCAGACACGGTAGAATCCTGCCAGTGTCTGCGGACGTGTAGCAACACGAGAGAACGCTCAATGTCAATTATAATTATCGTGGAGCCATAGGACGATCCACCGCTGGGTGGACGTGCCTGCTCACAGCCTGTGGTCGTAATGCCTTTCACCTTCTTCTCTCCCTCTGGTATCACGGTTTTCTGAACCGAGCTCAGGAGGAGGGACTGGCAGCTCCTCTGCCCCAAGTGCGTGAACCCATCATGGTTCCCAGGCCTACGACATTTGTTATCAGGGCGCTTGTGGAACCTGCCGTGGAGGGGGGACGCTTCCCTCCAGGCGGGAGGAACGATCAGGAATTAATCAGAATAGGCCAGCACCTGTGGTTTGGCCGCTGTGCGGATCTTTGAGAGGATGGATCTCTCTCAAGATGTAGTGCGTACGATTCAGGAGTCACGTGCTGCATCCACCACAGCGCTGTTCACATCAAGTGGTCAGTTTTTCAACGCTGCTGTACAGAAAGGCGTAGGCCACTTTATGTCCACTGGACGACATGCTGTCTTTCTGCAGCAGCCGAGAGACAGAAATCTGGTGTCCAGCACGACTATCGTATGCTGCAATCGTGTTTTCTTCTTGTCTCAAAGTTGTCGTAGACAGATCAACCTTTAATCATCCTCTGACGGAGCATTTTGGCTCAGATTGATATAGCAGCTGTGGGCCTGTTGTGACACGGGAAACGCTCAGTGTCAATGATGTGCTTCTCTGAGCCCATGAGACGAACCACCGCTGGGGGGTGGATGCGTTTGTCCACAGTCCATGGCCCAAAATGCTCCTGTACGCGTTTTTCTCCACCTCCTCTGGTCTTACGGTTCTTGAACAGAGCTCAGGAGGAGGGATTGACAGCTCTCCTGGTGGCCCCAAGCGCATTGGTGCACCATGGTTCCCAGCCCTGAAACGCCTGCTGTCAGGGTGCCCGTGGAAATTGCCGTAGAGGGAGGACGC